TTTTTTGTTGTTGTTTTGTTAAAGTATACATAAAGAATAACTACTGATGCATGTATACACACACATTTGCATTTGTTAGCTCATGTGCCGAACATAAAATAAATGCATTCAGTAAAATAGACATCAATCATAATGACCAGTGAAGCCTCATAATTTGTTTCACAATTATCACAATAAATAAACTCATCCCCTGCTGTCATTTTACACAAAAAATAATAACAGTGAATAAAATACCTATTATGTTAGTGCCACACTTTAGAGCCACTGACTCAGGTTGGTGCCATAAAGCCTGTGGAGACTCTACAGGCACTAACAAGTGTCAACGAACGAGGAGAGACGAAAAATCAAAAAAAAGAAAAAAAAAAAAGAAAAAAAAAATCGGAAGAAGCAACAGGAAAATTCTGATTTGCCAACAGTAGAGCAGAAGAAATAGGCGTTGTGGTTCTAAAGGGAAGGCTTAGGCTGAACTCTACATCACACGGTTGGGACAAGTTGAAATGTGATATAGATATGCATTCAGAATTTTGTATGTATTTGAGTGTGCATACATGTACATACATACATACATACATATATATATATGCATATATATATATATATATATATATATATATATATATATATATATATATATATATATATATATATATATGCATAAACACACACACATACACACACACATACATATAGAGATGCGCGTGCGCAAATACACACATACAGACACACACATACACATATATATATATGTATATATTTATATGTATGTTCATATATATATATATATATATATATATATATATATATATATATATATATATATATACATATATGTATATATATGTATATAAGCATATGTATGTATGAACACACACACAAACACATACACAAACACAAACACACACACATACACACACACACACACACACACACACACACATATATATATATATATATATATATATATATATATATATATATATATATATATATATAATATATATATATATATATATATATATATATATATATATATATATATATATATATATATATATATATACATATATATAAATTATATATAATGCACACATACACATACACACACACACACACACATCTATATATATATATATATATATATATATATATATATATATATATATATATATATATATACATATATATATATATATATATATATATATATATATATATACATATATATAAATTATATGTAATGCACACATACACATACACACACACACACACACATCTATATATATATATATATATGTATATATATATATATATATATATATATATATATATATATATATATACATATATATATATATATATATATATATATATATATATATATATATATATATATATATACATATATATATAGACACAGACACACATACAAACATACACACACATATTTATGTATATGTCTGTGTGTGTGCGTTTTCGTGTATGTGCGTGTGTGTGTGTGCTTACATGTGTTTTTAAAACTCTATATACGAGTATCAATAAATGAATTGCATATACATATTACTGTATGTATGTGTGCATGTATGCTTACACATGTATATACATACATATATATATATATATATATATATATATATATATATATATATATATATATATATATATATATATATATACATATATACACATATATACATACATATCTTTGTGTGTGTATGTATATGTACATATGCGTGTGTATTTATAGTCACTACGCGACTCAGCACTCCATTACAGAATTGTACATTAAGATCTGTCTAACAGGACAACTGGTCTACAATGGGACCAATAGGAGACTAATGAATATTCCTTTTCCTCTCTTTTTAAAAAGCTTCTTATCATAATTTCATAAACAGGATGGTAAACAGATATTTATATATTCATTTATTTATATATATATTTATATAGAATAGACATAACGGTTCTCTGTACCTATAACTGTGCTACACACGAAGGAGTAAGTAAGTATCTACATGTGTATTTATATTATACTAAACGTACACAATATAACATAGCACTGACTTATGACCTAAGCAATATATCTTTTATTTTTTTTTTTACTCATAATACTCTCTGTTGTAAGGCATGTGAATTACGTGGGGTCAGTTTAAAAACCCCTTTAGCGTACCGCCAACTTCCCACTCCAAGCCAGCGACCTCGAATAAAATTAATGTGATAAAGATTAAAAGGAAAAAAAAAATCTTTGAGATTAAAGATGAAAAAAAGTTCTTTTTGAGATTAGCAAGGAAAAAAAATGAAAATGAATAACGAAAGATTTTCTTTAATCGAATCCATATCTCTTTCTCACAGCCTAAAAGAAGGTCATTTTTGTCTCTTACACATAACTTGATAACTAATAATAATGGTAATATTTTGGTACCATCATATTCATTTTTTTTTACCGGTATCACCTTCAGTAAATACTTTTCCCTCGGCATTTTGAAATATAGAAACAGAATAATGG